GGGGGGGGGCAGGGAGCCGCTCCCCGCAAGATGGATGGGTGGAATTAAGCCCGATTTGGTTTCATTATCGGCCACAAAGCCCGGAGCCCTGGCTGCTCTCCAGCTGGGTGAGGGAAGGGCTGAGAGGGGGCACAGCATCGCCCGATCTCTGGAGCATCCCGCTGCCCCCCAGGGAGGAGACCCAGCCTCCCCCCGCCTTGTCTCCCGTTACTCACATCACTGGGCAGCTTGGGGGGACACACACACCGGTTCCCCGTCCCCCACCCACAAGGATGGAGCAGCTGAAGGCTTTATTGGGTGGGGGGAGGCCAGGGAAGGCCCCCCCCCCGGGTCACAGCTGGATGGCAAGGAGATAGTCCTCGTCGTCGTCCGAGGGGGCGAGGGGTGGTGGCGGAGCGGGGGGTGGGGGGGGCTGGTGCAGTCGGCGCCCCAGGGCCAGGTCGGGGGGGTCCAAGGGCTGCCCCTTGCGCATGACGTAGAGGAAATAGTGGAAGGCGCCGGCATCCCCATCCCCGCAGGCGGCGTGGCGCAGGGACCAGCCGAAGGCCTCCTGGGCGTAGTGGGGCTTGCGGAAGTGGGGCTGGGCGAAGGTGATGGAGATGAAGCAGCCCCCTGGGCGCAGCACCCGGCTCACCTGCAGCGGGAGAACCCCCGGGACGGGGTTGGGGGACACTGTGAGGTTCAGCCCCTCTGGCAGGGACGGCCCCATCCCCGGGGAACCCCCCCCACCATCTGCCAAAGATTCCCCCCCCCCCCCCTCTCCCATCGCACCCCCAAATCTCCTGTCCTAACCTTGCTCCCCCACCCCCACAGAGACACCCATCCCGGCTCTGACATCCCCAGACCACCTGCAGCCTGGTGGCAATGAGGAACTGGGGTCCCCACGCACCACCTCTCCCTGCGCCCCAAAACTCTTCACCCCCATCCACAGCAGACAGCACAAAGACCCAACACCGGTGCAGGGAAAAGCTTCACCCTCTCGGGCACAGGGACCCCCCAGAGCAGTGCGGGACCCCCATCCCACCCACCCCTCCCTGGGACACCCAGTGCCACCCCCCCCCCCAACCCCCAGCATCTGAGGTGGGGGGGGGGCACCGTTTGGATGGGAGAGGACTCAACCCTTTTAATCACCATTTTCTCCCCGCTGGAACTAAGCCCCCGCTAACAGGATGGAAAAGAACATCAATTTTCTTGCTTGGCTTTATCCAATGTCAAAAGGCTTTTACGGCCAGCGCTCGCGTGCTCGGCATGCAAAGGCAGTGCCCGGGGCGGGCGCGTGGGTGGGTGGCCAGCCCCCCCAGCCACCCCCCCATCGCACCCCTGCCAGCACCCTGCCCCAGGCAGGGACACCCCCAGACCCCCCCCCACCCGGCAAGGGCAGAGAGCCACTGCGGCAGGGGAGAGGGCTGGGGGCCAAGGCGGGGTGGGGGGAGGGGGTTTCCCGAGCTCTGGTTTAATCCTGCTGGGAAGCTCCACGGCTCAGCGCTGGCTGGGGCCAGAGATGGAGAGGGGACAGGCGGCCTGTGTGGTCTCCCCCCCCTTTACTGCGGCGGTGGCTTTTCAACCAAACCTTCGTGGTTTTGGCCAGGAAAAGGGGAAGGCAGGTCCCTGCATCCCCCCCCTAGGCACTCAGCTCAGCATCCCTCCTGCATCCGTCCTGGAAAGACCCCGCAGCTTCCCAACTGACAGGCACGGGGGTCCCCGGGGCCGGGGGCAGGCAGGGATCTCCGGCTGGAGCTGAGCCAGGCATCCCGCATCCCATCCTTGTTAATAGAGCACTAACGGCCGTTGCTTAGAGACGGGTGCAGGAAACCTTCCCATCCGTCAGCTGGCACTGGGGGGGGGGTGAGGGGGGCTGCTCCCTGCTCCAGCAATCCCCCCGCTCCATTGCCCCCGGATCGCTGGGACAGCGGTGTCCCTGGGGCATCCCCATAGGTAGGACGGATTTTTGGGTCCTTATGTCCCCTCTCCAGGGAAAGCAAGATAGAGGCTGTGAAACCCCCCCCCCCCCCCCCCGAAAAGGGGGGGGTGGGGGTGAGAAGAGGGGTGCCAGCCACGGCCAGATCCCTGCAAAGGGACCGGCAAAGCGGCAAGTGGGTGGGAACGCCCAGCGAATCCCCCCGGGGACGAGGACAGCGGGGACCGGCTGCGGGCGGAGGCCGGTGCCCAGCAATGCTGGGGGAGGGCAGGGATTGAGCAGGGGATTAAAAAGGGGAAAGGAAAAAAAAAAAAAAAAAGGGAAAAAAAGAACTAAATCCTCGTCGTTTGGCCAAATGACAAGGACAGGCAGCAGTGCTGGCAGGGCAGGGCAGGGCCCGGATGGCGAGGACAGCCCCGCTGCCCACAGCACCCGGGGTCCCGCTCCCTCCCCGGCTCAGCAGGGCAAAGCTCGGGGGGGGCAAAAGAGGATGGGGGGGGGCAATAGCCACAAGCACCCTCCCAGCACCCCGTGTCCGCACCCAAGGGTGCTGGGCAGGCGCAGCAATTAATTATCCTCGCAGTTATTCCCACGGGGTGCGGGAGGCTGCCAGGACCCGCACCCCCGCACCGGGGCAGGTTCAATCCGGTCCCTGCCTCCAACACCGCCAATTAATCGGGGCCGGAGGCATCGCCCGTCCCCGTGGCAACGCCAGGGCCCAGTCGATGCTGACGGGGGTTGCTATGGCAACCCTGGACCGATGGGGACCCCGGCTAATGAGATCGAAGCTGGGGTTGAGGGGGGGGGGTGAGAGACTGTCACTGCCCTGCGGTCATCACCTTGCCCTGGGTGGGCAGGGCCACCTTGGCATGTCCCCCCCAGGTCCCCTCTGGGCACCCTTGGGTGCTTCTACGGCCACTCATGCCAGGATGGGGCCCATTTTTACTGCCACCTTTTTGTATTTAGGGTGTAAATAAAGAGGGGAGTCACCCAGCCCCCCAGCGGGACCCAGGGCCCCCAGGGATACATCCCCTGCTGCACTCACCTCCCTGGGGAGAAGGTGATGGGGTTGGAGGGGGGGGGGTCTCCCACCCCCCAGGGGTGCCAGGAGCCCCCCAGGTGCCCCTTTGCAGGGTAGCAGAGACAGTAGCACTGGCTCGGGGCGGGGGGGCAGAGGCAGCGGCTGGGGCATCCCCAGGGAAGCAGGGTGGCGAGGGGACAATCTGAACCTGAATGGGGATGGGGTCCACCCCCCACGCCCCCTCCCACCCTCATACCTCCGCCAGCACCCGGTGCATCGCGGCGGCGGCCTGGGGCGAGACGTCCCACGGGTCGGTCTCGTCCACCATCAGGACGTCGAGGGTGCCCTTCTCCAGCACCACGTCGAAGGCGGCGTCGGGGAAGGCGAGGGCGCGGATGTCCATGACGGCCCAGCGCAGGCCGGGGCAGCGGGCGTAGCGGGCGCGCATGGCCGCGATGCAGGCGGGAGAGAAGTCGATGCTGGTGACGTCGGTGTAGCCCAGCTCGTGCAGGTCGTGGCTCAGGGCGCTGTTGCCGCAGCCTGCGAGGGGGCACGGCAAAGCCAGGGTTCGGGGGTGCCCGCGGCGGCGGCCGCCTGCACCTCAACCCTGTCGGTGCCCCGCTCCGACCCGGGGAAGGGAGCGGATGGGCTGGGGTAAGCCGGAGAGGGAGGAGGTCATTGCCTTGCCGCTAATTAGCGAGCGCTGGGCTAATTCTTAATGACCCCCTTGCTGCAAGGTGGGTGCTTTGGGTCTTGGGGTTGAGGGGAGCCCCCGTACGCCAGGTCACCCCCCTCCCAGCCCCGGGGATGCTGGAGGCAGGGAAGGGGCGGGGGGGGGTCCCCAGTCCTTCCCCCGACCGTGCCCCCCAAGAGCTTGCCGTGGGGTGGGGGGCAGTGGCAAATTAGGGTAGCGGGCAGTGGGGGGGGGGACTTAACGGGGATGGACGGACAGAGGGACAGACAGAGGGACGGCTGCATCAGGGGACCAGCACCCTGCCCGGTCGGTGCCAGGCCGGCCCCAGCGGGACACGGGCCCCCGGTGTGGCGGGCGCGGGCAGAAGCCCCCTCCTCTCCGCCGCTCCCCGCGGGGATCCCGGCGCGGGGGGGGGGGCGGATTTGGGGGCTATTAAGCGCAGCTGGCGGCAGCTGATCCGCTAACAGGATCGGTGATTACACCCGCCTAATCCCGCCTGCCCGGCGCTGGCGGGGGGGGGGAGGAGGTGGGTGAAACTGCCGGGCCGGCGGCAGATCAGCCCGCAGGTGGGATTACCGGCCGGTTACAGCGGCCGCCGCCTGCCCGCACCCCCGGGAACGGGGCCCCCCCC